TTAGAAAAAAAAAAAAATTCTGGAAAAGGCAAAAGGGAGGGCAAAATGGATTTAAAACGTGAGCTGGCACGTTGCCTGCTGCCAACAGAAAGCAATGGCTGCACATTAAAGGGAAAATTCCACCACCTCTCTACTGCAATCTACAGAACCTGGTCAGACAAAGCCCATGGGAGAGACAGGTAAGGTCTGACTGGTACCACCCAGCTGCCCTGACAGGGACAGCTCAGGGGGACACAGCCAGGCCTTCTCTGCCCCTGAGCTCTGACAAGTCCACAGCCCCACGAGGGCTGGGCACTTTTCTAACTGGAGCCTCCATGTCAGCCAAGGACTGATTTCTCCCTCACCTGTGCTGTCGGATTTCCAGAAAAAAATGATGCAGCTACTTGGGAAAACCCCCAGTGCCAGCCAGTTCTCAACAATCCCCCTTGGCATCTGCTTAAAGACAGCAGGGGGCCCGTGCCAGGAAGGGAAAAGGCTGCACTGCACAGAACAGGCATCCTCCCTCAGCGTGACAGAGGCCAGAGCCGCCTCTGGGAACCTCAATCACTCCTGCCCCAGGCAAAGACTCCTGCTGTGCACAGCTAGCACTGCTTTCCCCAGCTCCAGGTTCTCCTAGGGACTATCAACACCCACTGGTTACGGACAGTGACTGCACTTCTTGCCTGGAAAAAAAAAAAAAAAATAATCAGACTGAAGAGGTGGACGCAGATCTTTATTTTCTGAGACAGAGTTGTATTGAGGGACCGATTGCTCTGCCTCTGTGATCGCTCTCAGCCCGGACATGAGATCAGTGCACTGGGTATTTTTGTTACTCATCTGCCTAATTAGACTCCTGGCAGAAGGGAGGGGAGTGTGTGTTCCCAGTATACTGGAGCCCACTGATGCAGAACTCCACTGACACACTACAACAGGCCTCAGACAAGAGCTGGATTTTTCGGAAGGCAAAGAACAATTCATACGCTAAATAAATAATCTCCAGGAAGATCACAAAAAATTTAAATACAATAAAAACCAGGCATAGCAAAAATAGATGAAAAAAAGCATTCTCTGTAAAAACACCATATTATGTGTGTGTTGGTCTTTATATTACATGTGCAAGTTCCAAACCCCGTGCATTGCCTGACTTGGCAATGAAGCACTTCGAGCCCCACCACACAGCCCTTTACCACAGGTTGGATACCACAGTTTCTTCCCCAGCATCACCGTTTTCTGTGTTTATATAATCAGTCTTCTGCCCCCACTTAGGTAAAGCCTTCCCAAAGTTTACTGTTCTTTGCATTTTAACACACGAACATAATTTTAAACCTGGATATTAGGCTGCAAGTGCCAGACATCACGTCCAAAGGGGGTGCTGAGACTGTTCTCCCCTGCTCTATTTTGGGCCTATTCTGTGGAGACTGCGTTTTCCCACGTAAATGAAGACATGAGAGAGGTGCTTGCCACGGTTAAATCCTGGGCAAGCTTTACTTTACGTCTTTGGATTCTGCCCTCACGTTTGCCAAGCACAGCCTTGCCACATATATCTATTTATTTACTCTTGTCCTTTTTTTTTTTTCGTGCCTCGATGCAGCAAACTGCGGAACAGCACGTTATCTTTATTTCTGTTCCTGACACGTCGCTGTTCCTGTTGCAGAGAACAGGACCCAGGGAAGCCACGGACTGCAGCTGTCACAGCGTGTCCTTGCCTGCCCGTACAAAAGTAACAGAGGGCACTTCAGCCCCACGCCCACGAAATGAACAGCCTGACACCAGCACACACTGCGGCGGCACCCGTAACAAATGTGCGGGGACGTCCATTTCAAGGAGAAAAAAAATAAAAAAAAATCAAAAAAAAATCCAGCCTGCAGTTTTTGTTCTCGCACAGGAGCTCTGACGAACCGAGCCTGTGAGTGGAGCGAGGAAGGTGGAGTGACCAAGGCAGAGCTCGCAGGCTTTGCATCTTTTAAGAGTCCAGCGCTCAGGCTGACCTGAAAACACCGGACTGAGGCCACAGGAAACATTCAGCCAAACCTGCAGTAAATGGGTGTGTTAATAGCTGCCTGTCAACACTTGCTGTTTCAGCTTCGTCAGCTGCCTGTGGAGTGGTTTGTTCAAAGTGGTGAGTGAGCCCACTTAGGAGTTTTCGAGTCTTTCTGTGAGAACAAGGGGACGCAAGGGAGGAAAATTCAGAAGGAAAAAAATTTTAAGAAACAAAGAAAAATCCTCTGGTACCTCACCTTGCAGTCCAGTGCATAAAATCTCACTGCAAAAGCTCTAAAAGGTTTCTGGTTATTACTTCAGATCCTGCGCTTAACCTGATAAAATTCGCCACGTGACAGCGAGGCTTTGTTTTCAAAAGCCATGAAGTGATTGTTTTCAGGCTTTCCAAAGATAATTTCAACCAGCTCACATTTTTCCTGAGAACAGATTGCACGCGGTGATGAAAACAAACAAAAAAAAAAAAGGCAAAAAAACTTTGCTGCAGATTCCAGAGGCGTACACCACGCTGCTGCTCAAGGAAAAGGGAGCAGACAACGCCACCAAGAAGCCTGGACACGGGCATCTTTAAACATCAAACAAACCCCACTGGACTGTTAAATTTACCTTGAAGCATCCGGGTTTTTTTTTTGTTTGTTTGTTTGTTTGGTTTTTTTTTTTTGACAAGTGCTCTCTGTTGATGTCACAGCGTGACCACGCCAGGGCAATTAGAAGACTGATTATTAAAGGCAGAAATAAATCATTCGGGAGATCAGGCAGCGATGAGGGAGAGCCATAAGCTCATCGTCAAACGCGTTTGGCTAAAACATCATTAATGGAATTCTTCGGTGTGGCGCTGGCTCTAAGCTAGAAATACAATGTCATCGTTCAAATTCATTTTGGAGGGCTCTCTCATCCCTGTGGCAGGATGCCATCATCCATACAGTTTAACAGGTGAACTGGGGGGGGGGGGGGGGGGAAGGGGGGGGGGGGGGGGGGGAAAGCAACGCGGAGTGAAAAAAAAACAGAGTAAAGAGGGGGCCGGGAGGGGGGGGAAAGACAACGAAACGAGCGAAAATAAATTAGAGATTATGATTTAAGTTGGTCTGAAAAATGGGATCCCTGCAGAGTATCAGGTGCTGCCTGAGGAGTGCGACGCGGCGGTGCCTCAGTGGACCTTGGACTCGGGCCAGTCGTACACGTCTGGCATGAAGGACTCGTACTCGTAGGTCCAGACCTTGGAGCGGACGTAGCGGTTCTTGTCCTCGGGCTCGGGGTAGTGGAAAGCCATGTTGTTGGCGTACAAAAACTCCATCACCTGCAAAGCCAAACCGCCGCTTGCAGCCCCCTCGTGTGCAGCACCCAGGCTGTGCCCCAGGGCTCACGCAGCCCGGGAAGAGGAACGCCGAAAATCTCCCCTGCAATTCCCGAGCGCCTCGGCAGGGACCTGAAAGCTCGGGTTCCGAAACTCAGAGGAGGATTGCTTTGGCCCACCATCAAACAAACTGAGTGTTTTTACGAGCACCTCCTCCCCAAAAGGCACAAAGAAAGAGCTGGGCGTCTTGTGCCCAAGCACCTCGTGTCCCTGTGCAGTGCGGGAGGTTAACGTACACACAAACCACTTCTAGTGCAGTCCACCCTTATGCTTCACACTCACCTTGACAGCAATAGAAATAGAAACTTCCCTGATATTGGACAGTGGAGGGTAAAGTCTTCCTTGTGCAAGCTCTTCATCACTCAGCTGTTCCGCCAGTGCCTGAGTTAGAAGAACAAACTGGCTTCATTTATGTGACCAACAGCATCCTAAAACACCTGGGAGAATCAAGCTGCAGTGCTCTTAGCACCAGAGTGCCCCCAAAGCAAGGGGGCAATCAAAACCCTCAAATTCTCCATCTGAGCCCACATCAGCAAACCCTGATGGTTAAGCACTTAGCAAAATGAGATCCTGGTTCTTTGGAGGACGAGTTCCCCACAACCGTGGCAGTTACAGGAGCATGACACGCCTGCAGAACGTGTTTGGCAGTTTTTTACCATTGTGGAGGGATAAAACCAAGAGAAATCAGACAGAAAACCAGAGTTTCATCAAGACTTGAGAAGCTGCCCACCAAGTCACCCACTGCCGTGTCAGACACAGCCTGCTCTGCTTCCACACTTACCTTAGCAGCCTCTAGGAAAACCTTGTCGCTGATGTGCCGGACGCTGCTGAGGATCACAGCCAGAGCCACGCCTAAAACAAAATCACTGCCATGAGGGCCACATCACTCCACAGCGTGCAGCCTGCTGACGGGAGGCTGGGAGTCATCTAGAACGTTGTATTTCTGAAAATATTTGCACGGGCGCAACTCCGAGAATTACTGACTGCAAGAATTATTAACAGAACTTCAAGAGCGCATCAACACTTATTCTCTCCTCCTCCCTCCCCCCCCCCCCCCAAAAAAAAACCCCTTCAACAATCAGAAGAACCCATAATGCAGCAGCTTCCAAAGCCTTTAACAGCACTCTTTTGCTTTCTCAGAAATACTCAGCTGGGTGAGCTCGCTGTGTCACAGGTGGAGCTGCATGCGCCTAACATCCGTCCTGAACTGCTTTCCTCTCATTTCTACGAGTCCTCAGCTTTAACAGATGGCAACATCTCCTCACGCTGCTTCCCTAGCTGTGGCAAGGCAAGAAGAAGCGCAAACAGCCCCGTCTTTAAGAGATTAAAAGAAGAGGGGTTTATTTATCACCTGGGAAAATGTAAGCGTTGTTTCCTTGGCCGGGCTTGAAGGTCCTCCCGTCCTTCAGAGTCACCAGGTCAAAGGGACTGCCACTGGCAAACAAGCAACGGCCCTGGGGGACAGAGGAACACCCACACAGTCAGGCAGCTGCTAAAGAGCAATCTGGAGGCAGGAGACAAGCACACACTTTGAGCTGAGGCGGGGGAAGCCATTTATCTGTTTCACCACGCCTCGCTCATTAAGGCAGCAGCGACTCCGAGGAACCTCTGGGGCACCGAATGCCAAAACATCTCTGAGCCCTCCAAATAAACGACCTCTTCCTCGAGCACTAAAGCCCCCTGAAGGCAAAGCATCCTGACACTGAGTAACAGGTTTAATAACATTAGCGTTAAACATTTAGGGCTCCCCAGGACCACGGTGTTTGAGGACCAATTACCCGAAGAAGCCAAAGACTTGGGAGCTGTGTTTAAATGTCAGGGCATACCCATGGCACTCCCTCCCTTTCTGAGAAGGGAGGAGAACATATGGATTTTTTTAGAGAACAGAACAGAACACACAGAGGCATCCCACAGGTGCCACCTAGTGGAAAAAAAAAAATTAAAGAATAAAAGGTTGGTGATGGTGTATCTTCATATCCTTGCTGACTTCCTTGTTTGGCCTAAGATTTCACACCAGCCAGGGTCAGGCTGTTCCCAAGGCCAGGACACACACGGGGTGACAGCCCTGATCCCTTAATGGCCTGACAAACTTGATTAGTGACAAAATAAATAAAGTTGGAGATTTGCAGAGAATCACAGAATAGTTTGGGTTGGAAGGGGCCTCTGGAGACCATGTTGTCCATTTTCTAGGTAGTTACTGCATCCTGAGGGGAAAAGCATATTTTGAAGGGCAAACTATGGGTACAAACTCAGTACATTTCAGAGAACTAGAAAGAACCATGAAAACAAACAGCAGAAGCGGAGAAAAGGTTAAAGAGACAGAAACATTACCAATTTTATTAATAAGGACTGGAACCAAATCACACCCGTTCACTTACTGACCAGTAACATTTAATTGTCCAAATAACCCATTTCTGTAAAATCTGCAAGCAAAAATTAGGGTGATTCCCCCTCTAGCCGTGCTGCTGGCCTCCTCCAGCCAGAGATGCCAGTAGTTTCTACATTTATTCATGCCAGACAAAGTCTTGGCTGCATAACTAACTCTTGTTTACTTGCTGTCCGAGATACTGGAATTTAATTTCATGTACTGCAACACTGCCCAACTCACTATTCTGACTAATGCAGCATATCTGAGAGAGATTAAACCATCTTAATTTGAAAGTCTGTCCAGGGGAGGGAATGGGGAAGGGAGCTGGGGAAGGGTCTGGAGCAGCAGGAGGGGCTGAGGGAGCTGGGGGGGCTCATCCTGGAGAAAAGGAGGCTCAGGGGGGACCTTCTGGCTCTCTGCAACTCCCTGAGGGATCCAGGGAGGAACTGGGCTCTGCTGCCAGGGAACGAGGCACAGGAGGAGAGGAAACGGCCTCAAGTTGTGCCAGAGGAGGTTAAGATTGGATATTTAGGAAAATTCCTTCATGGAAAGGGCTGTCCAGCCCTGGCACAGCTGCCCAGGGCAGTGGTGGAGTCCCCATCCCTGGAGGGAGTTAAAAGCCCTGTGAATGTGGCACTTGGGGACAGGGGTCAGTGGTGGCCTTGGCAGTGCTGGGGAAGGGTTGGACCCCGTGGTATTGGAGCACTTTTCCAACCTGAAAATTCTGTGATTCTACTGTTGGAAGACCCAGATTTTGTCCAGAGGCTGTTATTCCAGAGCCCACTCTTGACCTGCAAATCTCTGTAGCAGGAGTTCCCTCCGAACTGACATGGAAGAGAATCTGGGTGTCAAATGGAGGCATGTGGGAATTCTGCCCTTCCCGCTGTGACACTGACACTGCTGGGGCTGTAATGCTGGAAGCTGAGCCACACTAACAGAGCAAGAAGGAAGGACTCTACAGTCCTGCATCAAGACACAAGGAAAGAGCTCCACCCACC